GAACAGGGGGAATCGGTACCTTGGGGGGGAATCAGTTCCCTCCGAGCATTCTGTTTTCTCGGAGCCAAACACCATTCAGGGGAATCGGTTCCCTCTGAGCAAGATGGAATTTTTGGCTTGAAATGGTTCGAAATATTTTGTAAAATTGTTTTGAAATTATTTTAAGTTTAAAACTTTATTTTACACTTGAGTAAGGATTAAAAATGACATTTGAAAGATTTGGAGTAATATTTTGATATTCAAATAATTATATCGAATATACTTAGAAAATCTTTTGAAAAATATTAAAATTCATTTATCTTAATTTGTTATATCGAAATATCAAAATGTTTTCAACAATCTCCCCTTTTTTGATATAACAAAACATTTTAGTATTTTAAGATTTGAAATCAAGTTTTGAAATACTCCCCCTTACTCTAACACTTCTCCCCTTTAAAACACTTTAACATTTCTCCCCCTTTTTGTTAAATCAAAAAGACTTTTAAAAGATTTTAAACAAGGTTTTGAAATTATTTAGCCAATTGATGATAAATATATATAGCTTAAGCTGCTAAGATAACAATCAAGAGAAACGTTAGCCATTAGTTTCATAATCAATATTCATAAACAATATGACATGGCAAAATTGGTCATATATCTAACATGATGTAAATGATGCAATAATGAATAAATTTAACCAAACCAAATATATATAAGTTCAAACATCCATAATCCATAATCCATCAAACAAATTCAAACATCCAACAATCTAAACACTAGGAATGTCGGGGTACAAGCGATCAATGTTAAATGGTTAAAAGTTATATTTGAACATATATTACCTTATATATTTGTACGAATTGTAGATTTATATCTATACGCAGGGACGAAGCTCCCTTAGGGCCTCGGCCCCTCTAGAAATTTATATATTCGATAAAATTTGGTATACTATTATTTTGGTTCATGTAAAAATAAATATAAAATTTATTAAATATTTAATTAAGTAGGGATCGGAATAAAGATGGATAATCTCATGTTCTCAAATTTTTTAGTCTAATAAAAATTTAGGTCACTGTAAGTTTAAATATTATACAAATAGGCATTGTCTTCTGAATTTTGAGTTTAAATAACTAATAAGTGATTACATTTTTCTTAAAAATTCAATATTCTGACCCGTCAATATTTAATCCTAACTTTATCCCTGTCTATATGTAATAAAACTTCATTCTAATCAACACCATATCGCATATCATGAATTTTTAGAAATTCACTTAAGAATACCTAGGAGAAATCATTAAATCTTAGAGCTCTCATTTTGATTTGTCAAAGCAAATTCAGAAAAAATCACTTAAGAATACCTAGGAGAAATTCACTTAAGTTTAAAATTATTTAGAAAACGAATATTAATAAAAAATCATCATTTTAGATTAAAATATCGTATAAAAAATCTAAAAAAATAAATATTATATTTAAAAAATCAAATTCTGATCTAAAAAAACAAAATCACTCAAATAAGTGATTAGAAGACAGAATCGTATCTCAATTATAGAAAAAACTCTTATCTCAATCGAAGAAAAAAACATTATTGAAGGGGTTTCTATAAAAATCAATGGAAGAAAAGCTTTGAAGATGAAGAAAATATATAAAGTTCTTGATAGAGTTAAAAATTAAGAAATTGTTAAAATAAAGCAGTTATTGGTCCTTAAACTTTCAAATATTTTAATTTCATCTTTAAAATATGATTATTATTCTAAATTAATCCTCAAACTTTTAAACATTTCAATTTCATCCCAAAACATAACCTTCATTCTAAAATTGGTCCCCAAACTTTTTGAACACTCCAATTTCCCCAAATTATGTATATATACTAATCACATCCCTTTTTAATAAAATCGCTAGTCCAAGTTATGTATATATACTAATCATATTTGTATGAATTTGGGGAAAATTGGAAGATTCAAAGTTTGGGGACTAATTTAGAAAGAGTCATAGTTTAGGGATGAAAGTAGAATGTTCAAAAGTTTAAGGATTATTTAAAATAAGTTATAGTTTAGGGATGAAATTGAAATATTCAAAATTTTATGAACTAATTTAAAATGAGGATTATAGTTTGGAGAGATGTGATGTAATTAGCTCTTTGTTAAGACTAAAAAATAGTAGAAATCGATTGCAATAGAAAATTTTATCAAAGCGTAACTTTTTAAGTTGAATAGAGTAATATTTTTTGTTGCAACAGAAAATATTATATTTTTCATAATATTTTATGTTGTAAGCCTTAAATCATCGAAAATATTTTAAATTTATATAAGTTTGTAAGTTAAATATTATAACATTTTAAATTAAAAATCATCTTAAATTAATCTTATATTAAACTGTCCCATGATAGAATAACCCGAAAAAAAAGTATAGTTTTTAGATGCATGGAACAAGTGATAAATTGTGAAACCCCATAGCCATCCACAACGACGTCACCAAAGCAAAAGGACATGATATGTGTTTGGATAGACGTTGGCCATGTTAGTGGTGAAGTAAAAACAACATGGCACATGCCATCATTCCTCATTTCTTTGACTTGTACACTTAATTTTTTCTTCTTTTCTATTTGCTTTAGGGATAGTTAAAATACTCGAATTCGATCGGTCTCGATCTGACTCAACCATAAAGGGACAGATTTTTCCCCGAAATTTTGGAGCTCGGGACGAGTTATGTAGTATATAAGTTATGAGTAGGGCAGAGTCGAGTTTAAGATGAAAAATCTCTTATTCGACCCGACCTGTTAATTTATAATTTTTATATAAAATATATTTAATATTTTAGATATTTTAATTTTATATTATTAAGATGTGATCTTTAATTATTAAAAATATAAAATATATTATTTTAATAGTTTAAAATATAATAAATAATTATAAATATATTATTATAAAATATATTATTTTAAAATATTAATATATTCGAATCAGATTGGGTCGAGGTTTTAGTCTAAAAATCAGAACGGGTTCAGAACAAAAAAAAAACTAAATTCATCGAGGCGGGATGGGGCCGTGTATAAGAAATATGATTTCGTATATGGGTCGGGACGGCCAAAAACCCGACCTATCTTGTCCCGTGCCAATCCCTAATTTGTTTAGCCTGGGCCCTAAAAACATTAAAAATACTAAATATTGATTTTAATTTTTTGAAATATAATATTATGATATCTCAATTTTTTTAGTTTATTATAGTATACTACTATTTTTAATATTAAATATTATGAATAAGTTTTGAATAAAATATTGCTTGACGCCATCAACTGTGAGGAAAAAGATGAGTAATTATAATTTTAAAAAAATATTTTTTTACTTTTTTTAATGATATATTGATTTTATGTTTAAGTTACGCCAGTTAATTTATTATTTGGAATTTTAATTTTTTTTATATTTTCATATTTAAGTTATTTTGTAGGAGACAAAAATAATTGTTAACTAATACAAATAGAGGTGGGGAATTATAAGGAGTAAACTACGCATTTAGTATTTAAACTATCAGTTTTGATTCGTTTTAAAAGATATACCTAAGTTTAGTTTTTGTTTCATTTTAATACATCGCCATTAAGTTTTGAAAAAAAAAGTCTAGGTACCAAAACACGTTTAGTACCTAAATAATACTTAAGTTTTGAAAAAAATTAAAAATTTATGTATTAAACTGGATCAAAACTGATAGTTTATGTACGAAACACATTAAGTTTTTAGCGATTGAGTATTAAAATGAAACAAAAAATAAATTGTAATTATGATTTTGAAAAAATTAAAAGTTTAAGTACTAAAACAGATTAAAATTAATAATTTAGATACTAAATATATAATTTATTTACCCGAATTATAATTTGGTGGGTACAATTACTCTTTTCACAAACCGCAAACCAACGGACTTCACCAATTTATATTGATGATTATAACTACCTACCTTTGACTGCCTTCGACTTCACCGGCCAACATTGACTCGGTCGGCTGCATAGGTTGGTTTAGGGGCGAGTAAATTCAATTCGATTCGAAAAGTTAATTTTTTTTTAATTAAGTATGTAGTATATTATTTTTAAATTTAAATCGAGTCTCTTAACTTTATATGATATATGTATATCACATATGAAAAAATATAAATAAATATATTGTATTGTATATGGTCCATACTCCAGCAGGTTTCAGCTCCATATCAGTGGTAAAGGGTATAATCATTAACAAACCAGTTTCATCAATGGGAAGAATACACTTATTTGCGGGATTTGCAACCGGCGTGGAGACGACAGCGACAGATGAGCAAGTGGGCGGAGACGACGATCAGGATTTGGGAGAGAGATTTTCCGATTTTAGGTTAGACCAGATCGAAAGATTCCTAAAACTTTGAGATTTTTCTGAATTATTTAAAAATTAAAACCAATTCAATAGAATGTGTAAGTTTTGAGGATTAAAACTATTATTATACAACGTCACGTCACCACTTTCGTTATGCCAACTATCAGATCTAATGACGGATTACCAAAACAAAAACGAAACGTTAGGCACAAATATTTAAATAAATAATAGTAGAGTGACCGAAATAGAAACAAGGTAATAGATGGGTACCTAAATAGATAGTTTATCCTAGAATTAAACATGAGAGTGAGTTTAATTTGGATCCTTTTAAAAATCAAAGTTAAGCCGAATATGAACTCATCTAGTGACCCTAATAATAAAAAAAGAATGTTATTATCTTTAAAGGTCTTGGATACGAGCCATAGTCGGTGTGTTTATGTTGTCACCCAATAGGTTAAGAAAGTTGAGATTGTGATCTATAATCAAATCCATTCAGCATTGCAATATTCCATTTGATATTTAGTTGATGGCTATGAAATAAACAAAAGCCAAAACAATGGAATACATATATCTTCATCCAGTGTTTTACTTAAAACTGCATGTAGACCACAATTTCTTCAATCACTTTAGAGAAGAAGAAAAAAAAAGGCCTAGCGGGTGCCCAATTAACCACCTCAGCAATAGACAGCCACCATTTGGGTTTAGGGTTTCTCAAATACCTTCCCCTGTCTCCAACCATGGCTATTGCAATTTCCAGTAACTACTCTAGAACTGGCCACCTTCAAATGTTTGTCCAAACTGCCAATTCCCAGGTGTCACGTTGTAGCTGGTGACGGTCCTTCCGTCACTAGTTGTGACTTGGAAAGACAAGCTTTGTCCATTCAGGTAAGAGTTGCTCTGCCAGTTTTGGCCCCAGTTTCTTGACATTGATTGCCATCCTGTCTTGGAGCCCTTGATCGACACAGAATGGACATCTCCTGCACCTCCAACGTTTGTGATCAACACCAAGTTGAAGTAAGAGTGGCCGTTGACTGTAAACCTGATTCCTCCTTTCTTCACACCGACGTAAATATGCTTGTTGATTATCAAGAATGTTTATGGATTTAAGGGTGTGGATTGTGGATGCTTACCTTCTGAATGAAATCGGAACGATTCCGGCGCGGTATTGAGCGATTTGCAAGAAGGCAGGGCTCGGCCATGTCGAAGTGTTGGAGGGGAGGATTGCACCACCCACCTTTGTCGTTGGACAATGCCAAGTTAGGGGGGCAGAAGTTGGTTGCGGTGACGATAATGGAACCGGGCAGGCACCATTTAGGGTCATTGTCACACCTCATTTCATAGCTCGAACCGCAGCTCAACCCATTGTTGAACAAGGCTGTGCTGAGTGCTGCGGTGTTGGTCCCATACCCTTGGCTATACAAGTTGCCGTATCCACAAGCACCTCCTGAACATAGCATAGCATTATTCATTAAGCCATTTGATGTTACTTAATTACTGCACTTTTTGGAATTGAAACTTTGGTTTAAAACTCACCCATTGTGCCGGATGCATCACCGCTGCCGTAGAACGTAGCATGGCCACCTTGCCATCCTCCACCGTAGTCACCGAAGACGCTTGAGACGCAAAAGTTGAAGATAAATAGTAGAAGAGAAGTTACAGTGCTGCCATTGCCATTGTGAATGTTAACTAAAAGGGTAGCGTGTTTAGTGATTGATGGTTTGAGTTGTGGGTTTATATAGGAAATGAATGGGAAAAGTGTAGGGGCGGTAGAGTTGAATAGAAAGATAGACGTAAAAATTTATGTTAGGAGTGAACTTAAGAAATTCTATTAAAAGTTTTAGTAAGTGTGAAGTTAAAAAAAATTTAGAATGTGTGAAATCAGATAATCAATAAAACATATGAAAAAAACTTAAAATATAAGAAAATTTAAATTTTTTAAAAGCGTATCATCCACCAGTACCCTGTCGATTCATCCCTGTTTACCAGGGATCAAAACCTGCACATGGTAATGTTCCAGTTACACTACCAACCCTCTCATGGCCCCCACCTCCACATTCATTTCTCCCTCCCCTTTTTATCTTATTCTTGCCATTTCTCATTCACTATCCATAAATAAGAGAAGACTCCTAAAACAATATGATTACTGTTATACAGGTGTATACGTCCATTATGCACCATCTAAACTACTGTTTTGGAGTTAAAAGAGCCTTGATGATATAATCTTTTCTTGTTGCAGCTATGGTTTCACAGATTATGTTCTACAATTCGTTATTACAGTACAATATACGAAAGATTCATGAACAATTCGTCGAACTTCTATTCATTTACACACTTACTAATAACAACGTCAGGTCTGATCTTGAAATGTGAATGTATTTTTAATGGCTTTGATTGTAGAAAAATAAAAATTCCCCTTTTGTCTTTCAGTACAATCGGAACCTTCATCTTCAGCTATCTAAACAGGGAAAGCTTACCAACCTCAAAGCAAAGAGCATCTGGTCTTAAAACCTACTAATATTTTAATACTACATGACACCGTTGAAATATTTTAAAAACTAAAATTTCATTACGTATATATCCATGTAGTAAGAGAGAGTAAGTAAAAAGAATCATTTGTCAGCAATTTGATGATCATTATGGATGATTGAAATCATTAGCATACGTGGAGATTTAATATTTTCTATAAACTCTCGAGGCATGATTAAGTTAAAGGTGATTGTAAAGTAATATATGTTCTAAGTATTCTCAATTATTTAATAATCAACGCTCAATCATCCTTGTAGTTACTTGTGCTCGAATTCGTAACATCTATAAACAATAATTATTCTTTAAACCATTGAAATAAGTTAATTTGTGTTATCGTAATAAATTCGTAAAACATGAAGAAATTGGATTTCATTAAATTTATGTTAAAAAGAAAAGAAAATATTTGATTACGGATGGAAGGGTCCCTACCATGTTAGGGAGCACATGGAATCCACTTGGTTCACGGTCCATGCATCCTTTTCATATGAATTTATTATATGGTTTCCAATTGTAATTCGGTACTGATATGAGAATAAATAAAAGGGATTTGCACATGAATGTGATGTTGATTAATAATATATTTCACATCAGTCAGTAGGTAGGAAAGATTTGTGAACAATAAAAGCTACCACCCCAATATTTTATGGGGACAACATTAAGCAAAGCTTCAAATAATAATGATATCCACAAAAAAGCCATGGGGGATATTCTCCAAACGTTATGTGCTAGGAGCCACTGAGAGTACCCTTCACAAGGGATTGTCTCATAGTCCCCCACTTGGAAAGAACCTAACATCATCTCTTTTCCCTACAAAATCTCCATTTCATTGGAATGGGGGCCCAAGTGAATAGTCAATTACTCACTCATTTCAGCCACAAAATAGAACCCACTTGGGAGCTTAAGAAGGTTGAACCCCTTCACATGTGCATTTAATTGGAACCTCTGGATGTAGGGTTGCTTTGACCCTTTTAAGGTGGCAAGCTTGTTAATTTTTGGTGTCCGAACCCCTGATTTTGTCTACTATTCAAACTATACGTTCCATATGGTAAAAGGCATCACCTTCCTACCACAATGGATTTATGATCCATTTTGTTCTGTGAAAAGGAAATGCCGACCTTGGATGTACAGGCTTTTATACCCCAACCCATTGTAATGATCATTTTTTAATATTTATTTTAATTTTCCAGAAATATAAGATTTTAAAAAAACGGAATCATCATCGATTATATAAGTTAGATTTGATCGATCACCTATTAAAATTAAATATAAAATACACATAATATTAATAGTAATCATTGAGAAATTTTCTTGAATTACAAAAATGATTATAAATTCTAAAGATTAAATAAATATAAATTTTATTTAATTGAGTAAAACTTTTAAAATAAAGTGTAAAATATTTATTCGAAAAAGACAGTAGTTCAATCAGTTTTGAAAGGCCTTACTTTTTAGCCTATTTCTTTTTTCTATTTTGTATTTATTTTCTCTTTTTTAAATGAACAAAGAAATAATTTGCTTATTTTTCCTCACACTGTGCTCCTCACATTCAAAAAGAATGTTAATACTTCATACATATTTTATTAAAAGGAACATCTTTTATTAAAATATTAAAATACTTGGTTGAAAGGCCCAACCAAAAGTCTGAGTTCAAGGCTAGAAATAACCAAGACTCATCTCAGCTACAATACAAACTATACAAATATAATTCGATCCCCTTTCATTTATTCCTTTGTGTTCTCTTTCATATTCCATTTCTTCTTTCTCTTCTATGTGTGATACAGAGTTTACGGTACAGAACCCATCTTGTTCATCCTATTGTCTCGGCTCGTCCGAAATACAATAAAAAAAGTCTCTTCCAAAATAGAGAATCTCAATGATGTATTATCTTTTTTTCATTTTATTTATTAGCCTATCGATAAGAATATAAATGAAACCTCAATTGTTTGAGCTATAAGAGAATGTACAAATATTCCTTGAATATTTGAAGTTGTAATTTAGTTTCTTATCATTCAATGAGCGTCTTGTATTTCATAAAAATTGGGGACAATATAATCCTTTTCCTATGTATCTATAAGAATCAATATTATTACATTCCAATTCCTTACAGATACCCCCAAGGAAAATCTTGAATTGGATCCCAAATTGACGAGTTAGTGTGAGCTTATTCACGCGGTAATACACTATTTGAATAGGAATCCATTTTCTAAAAGACCATGGCTTTCATGCTTTGGCGAGTATTCGAGATCCTTTCGACGATCTATGTTGTGTTGAAGGGATATCTATATAATCCGATCGATTGTGAAAATTCCGCAGTAGCAACGAAACTGGGAAAATTATATAGAAAATATAGTTCTTTTCTTTCTGTTATATTAGTATTTCTATTATATTAATATTTTCTATTCTATTTTTATATTCTATTAGTATTAGATTAGTATTAGTTAGTGATCCCGGCTCAGCGAGTCATTTTTTTCGTGATTAACTGATGGTGCCAGTCCTACATTTTGTCTCTGTGGATCGAGGAGAAAGGGGGCTCCGCAGGAAGAGGATTGTACCATGAGAGAAGCAAAGAGGTCAAGCTCTTTCAAATATACAACATGATTATGGAAATGCAATGGAGTTAGGCTTTCATGCAGATCCGAATGAATCATCTTTCCATGGAGGTAGATCCTTGCCCGCTAGGTAAAAAGATAGCAAGTTACAAATTATGTTTCGATATGACATGCATTTCTATTACTATGAAATTCATAAATAAAATAATTAATCGTGGGGTTACCTCATGTTTTTAGTGACGAACCTTACATGTGTTCCTAAGAAAAGAAAATGAATTTGTCAAAATTTTAGGGTCTTAAAGGGTCGTGGAAACACATAAGAACTCTTTAATGGAACTGGAAGAGAGATGTAACTCCAGTTCCTTTGAAATAGTAAGATCTTTGGCACAAAGAGAAGGGGTTGATCCATATCATCTTGACTTGGTTCTGATTTTTTTAAGAATACTGCTTCTCCTACTCGTATCGAATAGAACATGTTGAGGTAAACATTTTTCATGTAAAACCTTCTTGATTTAGATCGAGAGAATCGTACAGTTTTATGAAATCATGTGTATATGGCTTGAGTCCGTAGTCAATCCTATTTCCGATAGGAGCAATTGACAATTGAATCTAACGTTTTCGATTATTTTTGTATCCATAATAGTGCAAAAAGAAAGCTAAGCTCCAAGTTGTTCAAGAATAGTGGTGTTGTTGAGTTTCTCGATCCTTTGACTTAGGATTAGTTAATTCTATTTCTTGATGGGGGCAGAAAAGGAATATAACTCAGCGGCAGAGTATCAACTTGACTTAGGGTCTCCTCAAATCTTCCATGAATTTCTCTAATGGGGAAATTACGCTATTTGTTTTCCTCTTTTTATACAAAGCTCAAAAATCTATTTTTTTAAACTCTAATTAGGTTAATTTCTCATCTGATTGAACTCAAATTCAAATAATAGAATCTCTATACGAAAATAATCTATTCGATTGAACATTAAGTCAACGTTTGATAGTTGACACAAAATTCGGGTTGTTTCACAATTTTCATGTAAATATTGAACTTTAATACTCTTTGTGATTAGGGATGACAATTTAACTCGAAACTAACAGATTTTGACCCAATACAATATGTTTTTTTAAGAAAAATTGGGTTCTGGTTGGGATCTATATAAGAAGAGGTCGGGTTTGGGTGGAGGTGAAAAACCTCAAACCTAACCCAACCTGAGGGTAATATTATAATTTTTTCATTTAAATTTATTGATAATTGTTGTAATACCCCCTCTCTCTATAGTTTTTTAATTAGGCCCTTATTTTATGTCGAGTTGGATCAGGTTTACACTCCAAAATTTTAAGTCAAAACAGGTTCAGGTAGAGGAAATATGTAACACCCCAACTCATATTCGACCCGAATACAAATTCAAAGTGCCACATTGACTTTTCAAATCTTTAACTTTTAAACAAATAGTTGACAATAAAATTTTCTTTTGAATAGTAGAACATTTTTATAAAAGATAAAGGGTACTACTTTTAAATTTAACTGCAAAAGTATAATTCATCATTTACATAAACACCATAATATTTTTCATTTACAAAAACCTGATCAGAGCATTTTCATTTAAAGCAGGGATACATGCCAACAAAATGAACAAAACGTAACAACCTACTATCTTAAATGATTATGTTATGATCTTCACTACTTATGATGTCATCTCCTACTCTTCACTCTTCAGATCTCTTTGAACCTACGTGGAAAACAATCCACACGCTAAGTCTTTGACTTAGTGAGGCAATAAGTAGCATAAAACATTTAAAACATCTTTTCTATTTAATATATAAACCTTTCCTAATTGAATGAAATTTGGTTTCTAAAAATTCATTAACTCATTCTTTACTCATCTTATAACTTTATTCACTTAACCCAATGTATAACACTGAGAATTTAGGATATCTGAGTACACTAAGGTTGTGCACAATTGTTGTCACCACAACTCATATAATTTGTATCGAAGTGCCACGTAGAATTTGTACCGAAGGACTGCGTAGAATTTGTCCATAAGGACCACATAGAAATATCCTGAAGGATTATATAGATTATCCTGAAGGATCACATAGATTATCCCGAAGGACTGCGTAGAACCCTCGACTCTTGTCATGCAAACTAGACCCCTAATTCTCACATATACACTTTGGGCTTTAACTTATAATTATTTTAAGTTTCACCATTTAAAGTGTATCTTATTTGTATATATATAGCATTTTCGTAGATCATTTACACGTAGGTATTTCGCATTCACATGTCACATGTTCATATTCAAAACAATTAACCATAAAACTTACCGTAACATATAATTGAATAAACATCATAAAATATAGCATAAAAGAATTGAAAGTAGTTTTTGATCGAAAACTTTGAAGTTGGCTTATCGCAATCCGTCCTCAAATCCAATATAAAGCAATTTGATTGCACTCATCTTTGCCTCACTAAAGTCCTTTACTCTTGTGTTCGAAACTTATAATATAGAGTTATCCGAAGGTTGATTTTGATCACAGTCTACACAAAACAATCGAAAATAAATATCGAATCACTTAGCCCAAATCATAATAACTTAATCTGCAAGAAACACTAAATTTTCTCATTTCATACTTAGTATCGGTACTTCCCCAACAGTATCGATACTTCCCTTGGTTGGTATCGATACCTACCTTTGGTACTGATACCATTATTACATACTGGAATTTCGGCTTTAAAATTGATAATGATACCTTACTATTGGTATCGATACTCCCCTTACAATATCGATACCCTAACAATCAGTACTGATACTTATCCTTGATTTTCAATTTTTTAAGCCTTGAAGTATCAGTAATGTTCTTATATTACCGATACTTTAGCCCAGATTTCATTTTTCCCACTTCGAATTTTAACCCAAAATCATCTAAATTCTTTACTTTTAACTCTAATCATCTCCTCACTCTAACTAATACTCATACTAATCACTTATCTTCACTAATTCTCTTATAACATCCAAATTTCTCAATAATATTCTTAAAACTAAGAATCATATAATTTCATCAAACATGTTATTATTTATTTCTTAGCTAAGACTTTGACAAGTCACCTTTAGAATTCATTAATCAACCAATTTCCAAATTTTCACTTCAAAACCCAAATTATTCGTTTCCTAATAACTCCTTATTAACTTAGTTTTTCTTCATTTTCAAGCTTCCTTAATCTTCTCTATCTCTTAAAGCTTTAATACAACCCATAATTTAAGAGAATCAATAACTTAAAAGAAACTCGCCTTAACCCCCAAGAAGGAACGAACCAAGAGAAGAGAAATAAGGAAATAAACTATCCAGAATTTTCCCCCTTCCTTATCCACTTAATATCTTAATATAATATGGATAAAAAATCTATATGCTGAAAAAGACCATCTTGTCCTTCTTCTCTTCCTTATTTGATATTAACTCCTAACACAAAATATCCAACCATTAGTCCTTGAACTTATCACTTAATCCAATTACACTACTAAATTTTAAATTCCTTACATTTCGATCATTGACCCAATGTTTGGGATATTACAAAATATGCTATGTAACACTAAAACTTAGGGCCTAAAAAATTCTTAAAATTCTTTTAAGGACTAAATTAAAATTTAAACTAAATTTAGGGGCTAAAGTAAAATTTTGATTAAATTTAAATCCAAATTTAGAAAGTATAAAAAATTATAGGACCTAGAGTGTAAAAGGATATAACTCCCAAATCTGGAAAGCTTTCCTTATTTGGAAACCCTATTTTCTCACTTTTCAAGCTTTCTTCTTTTAACAAGAAATTTCAATCGTCGTTTCGTCATCAACCGTTGCTCTGTTTTTGATACCTCCCGCACCATCGTTATAACATCCTAAAAATCGAGCTAGTGACTAAAATGTAAGTTTTGAAAATTTGAGGCCAATTTCAAAAACTTTTAAAAGTTTAAGGATTTAATGGGAATATTTTGTGAAGGATTATTTAGCAAAAATTGAATGATATAAGGGCAAAATGGTCTTTAGGTAAGAAATAAATTTAAAATTCATTTTTACAAGATATTTATGCACATAAGAATGAAGGAAAGAAGTATCTAGAAAGTGGTTCATGTTTCTTCTTCTTCTCCCTTTAGCCGTGAGTGTTCATTCCAATGGCGAGTTCTTTTCAAGTTGATTATTTCTTGAATTTTAAGTTGGGTTTTGGTCTATGGGTGATACATAAGCTTAAGGAAAGCTTAATGTTGTTTAAAACTAAAAGATGGATAAGTTATGAGGGGATTTGTAAATAGGGTTTTTGAGTGAATATATGAGAAATGTTTAGGAATTGAATTTAAAGGTTAAATTTGACTTGTCAAGGGTCTAATTAAGAAGTTATAATTTTGGTTATGGGTGATACATAAGCTTAAGGAAAGCTTAATGTTGTTTAAAACTAAAAGATGGATAAGTTATGAGGGATTTGTAAATAGGGTTTTTGAGTGAATATATGAGAAATGTTTAGGAATTGAATTTAAAGGTTAAATTTGACTTGTCAAGGGTCTAATTAAGAAGTTATAAGTAATAGAAGTGGATTAAGAACATGTTGAATAATTGGTATGATTTTTGGCGCTAAGTGTTCTATGGGAATTTTGGATGTTAAAGTGTGTTAAAGTGATATAAGTTAGTTTTAATAAGCATATTTGAGTTTAATGATTTAAAAGGAGTTAAAATAGTGGAAGTTAAGTAAGTTTTGGAAAATTTTTGGGTAAAATAAGTAAGTCTTTGACTTAGTGAGGCATATAATGCATAAATAAAACATTAAAACATTTAATCATATACTTAACTTTTATAAACATCATAGGTTACAGAAACCATCATACATTTCACCAAACAAGAACATATAACATCATGCACTGTCATTTATGTTATTTTTTTATTAGCCCAATGTATATCATTGAGAACTTAAGGTATGTGAGTGCATTGAGGTTGTGCACTAATGCAGTCACCACTGCTCATATAAATTGCACCGAAGTTCCGCGTAGAATATGGACCGAAGTGCCACGTAGAAATGTTCTGAAGGACCACATAGAAATATCCCGAAGGACCACGTAGAAATATCCCGAATGACCACGTAGAATTGTCCCGAATGACCACGTAGAACCCTCGACTCTTGGCATGCCAATTATACCTTTAGCTCTCATATCACATACTTTTGGGCTTTATCATTTATACCATTTCACATAGCTTATATCACATAGAAAAATAATCACATAGATCATGTCACATAGCTTATATCACATAGAAAAATAATCACATAGATCATGTCACATAGCTTATATCACATTTTCATATAATCACGTAGTTCAATATCACATAGCTTATATCACATTTTCACATAATCACATAGATCATGTCACATAGCATGAAATATAAACAATGCATGTTCACGTAGTAACATAATCAAAATTATGCTTATATTCATGTAATCATATAATCATATCATTTCATTAACTTTCAAACAATATTTTAATCAATTATTGGAAATAGACTCATCGCAAGTCTTCTTTCCATAAGACAATATATATAGTAGTATGCACTCACCTTAGCCTCACTTAGTCAAAGAAAAACTCTTATCTCTCTCTTGGTCAATCTTATATCATCGATTCGTTCGGAACTTGCTTTTGTTCGATATCTTCACAAATATATGATCGATATGAATATCGAAATTTGAATCACTATTAATCAATCATCAATAACTTAAGCTAAAAGAAACACTTAATTCAAAATTTCATTTTGAATAGTATCAGTACCCCAGGCCTAGTACCGATACTTTCTCACTATGGTATCGATAATATACTTCAGTATCGATACTCATTCTACATTCTGGAATTTCATCCCTAAAAATGGTACTGATACTTATCCATTAGTATCGATACCTTTAGTATCGATGTTACTTCTTTGGTATCGATATTGTTCTTATTATTCGTACTATTTCATCTTATGGTATCGATACTATTTTTCCAGTATCGATATTGTTCTTCCAGTATCGATACCCAAACCCAGTTTTCACCTATTTTTGCTTTGAAGTATCGGTATTGTTCATCCAGTACCGATACCCCTTGCCCATAACTTACTCATTTCAACTCAAAATTTAACAAAACTCATATAAATTTCCCACTTTACTCTCCTTTTAGGCCTTTAAACTTAACTACACTTATAAAAATCAACTTACATCACTTTAACATACTTAAACCTCCAAAATTCCACATAATCACTTGAAACTAAAAATCATACCAATTTATCAACATGCCCAAAATACTATTCCAACACCTTAGATTTCTTATTCCAACTTATGACAAGTCAAATTTCACTTCAAAATCCATTTACTAACACATTCTCATCAATTCATTCAAAAACCGTTTTATTTCAATCACCCATAACTTGTAAATCTTTTAGTTTCTACTTCTTTTTAAGCTTTCTCAAGTTTTCCTAATACCCCAAGAATCAGAACCAATCAAAATTTACAAGAAATAACTAACCTGAGGATTTCTTTCCTTAGCTCAGAGACTCACGGTGGAGAAGGAGAAAGAAAAGATGAAGAAGATAGAATTCTAGACTTCTTGCTTTAACTCTTTCCTCTCAATCCCACGTGTATATAATTCACCAAAGAATAAATTTTAAATTCATTTCCTTTTCCAATGACCATTATGTCCTTCCATATTTCCATATTAGCTAAACCTACACACAAAAATTCTAATTAAGTCCTTAAACTTTTCAATTTTCCACTTTAATCATAAAATTTTAAAATCTTACACTTTAGTCACTAGCCTAATTTTTAGGATGTTACAGCAAGCATCGAGTTAATCTCGATTGTGAAACCAAAAGAGTTGTTCAGAAGACTCCAGATAACTGAAAGATTGTGATGATTAGGGAACGTCGTGGATTCCTAACCAATATTGTGTCTACTTTGGTAGCTATGAAGGGTTCCAAGGTGTTTCTTGAGTATATTCAAGATACTAGGAGTTCTCGATCTGACATTGAAGGCATCCAGATTTTAAGTAATTTCCCAATGTTTTTCCTGAAGAGTTGCTCGGATTACCGCCGGATAGAGAAGTTGAGTTTGAGATTGAAGTCAATTTCAATTTCGATGGCTCCTTACTGTATGGCCCCCAAAGAAACTTAAGGAACTGAAAATCCAACTCCAGGAGTTGTTGGATAGGGGATTCATTCAACCCAGTGTTTCACCGTGGGGAGCCCCAATTCTCTTTGTCAATAAGAAAAATGGGACATTGAGACTTTGTATTGATTATAGGAAACTGAACAAGCTCACGGTTAAAAACAAATATCCTCTACCCAGGATCGATGATCTGTTTGACCAATTTCAAGGGGCTTCTATCTTTTCAAAGATAGACTTGAGGTCTGGTTATTACCAACTCAAGGTGAAGGATTCTGATGTGCTACAAATTGTTTTCTGTACTCGATATAGGCATTACGGGTTAACTAATACCCCTAATGCTTTTATAGATCTGATGAATCGGGTGTTTTGACCTTACTTGGACCAATTTGTAGTTGTGTTCATCGACGACATACTGGTGTATTCTCGAACTGAAGTAGAACATGATGAGCATTTAA